CCCACACACACACACACACACACACACACACACACATGCCATCTGCAGTCAGTCACACAGAAGCAGAACAAACAGCAAAATGACACCAAAAATGCGAACCTGGCCCAGTGTTAAGCCCTGTTCACACGGCACACATTTGGTCCGACGCTGCACCGAAATATTTTGTTGCGATATATTTTACACCGGAGCAAATTTTGTGGAGCGGTCACACGTGCAAAGCCGCTGAGCGTGACAGCTCCGACGCAGCGTCGGAGCAGCTCCACTTGTGGTCACATGTGCAGTTTCTGCTGCGGACCAAAACAACAGGAATGCGGAAGTAAAACAGGTTCGGGTCGGGTCGGGCTTCTCTCTCGCGGACTTTTATTTATTTTTCTTTTAATAAATATTATGGCGGACAATATTCTGTCCTTGTTCAGAATAGATCCACTTGTCGGCAGTCGTGGAATAAAGACGTGTTTACAGTCAATCGTGTGTGCTCCTTATGACTGCCACAATATATGTTTTAAAAAATGTATACTAAAACAATGTGCGGATACTAAACTAAGGAATACTTGTTTTAAAACAAACAATTTGGATAAAACAGAGAATGCGCTGTAATTTAATTGCTATTTAACTGCTAAACAGGAGTGCAGCGGGCCAGACGCAGTGCGCACGTATGTCAATTTCGTTTAAACAATCCTATAGAAATAATTTCAGATATCTTTACCTATTTATTTGATTTGAATTATTCTATTTAAAGCCGAGTAAGCCGCAGGATTTCTCTGCGTAATTAAGCAAATGCGCATCGAGATTTCTCTTTGTCTGGCCTCTTATTCTGTATTTCAGCGTTATTTCGTTGTGCAAATGCATTGATCATGTTCATAAAAATATGTAGATTATTTTAACCGTAAGAAATCTTGTGTTTTTTTCTCCCAAAAATACTCACAAATAAAATATGAAATGTCGGGTTTGCTTCGGGCTCGGGCCTGCAAATCGGGCTCCGCCAGGTCGGGCTTTAATACCCTCGGGCTCGGTCGGGTCGGGCTCAATTCTCTTCTTGATCGTGAGCGCTGTCTTCACCGCTTAAATTGCCGACACTTTTACCGGGAACGGGGGTGCACGGCCGGGCTTCGTCTGTGTCGCTGGCCCCCTCGTCACTGTCGACCGGGGTCGGATTCCGTGCATCTGGTAGCGAGCGTAGCGAGGCCACTCCCCCGCAAGCGAGCATTTGCTCTGGAGCAAATTTAATCCAGCTGCGTTCACACGTGCACATTTGTTTCGGCGTAGCGTCGCAAACGAGCATTTGCTCTGGAGCAAATTTTTAAACCACCTCCCTGGGGTGGATCAAATTTGGTCCGGTATAAGCTCTTTAGTGGAGCTACGCCGGAGCAAATGTGCACGTGTGAATGCTCGACTGGATCTATTTCGGCGCTGCGTCGGACCAAACGTTGCCGTGTGAACGGGGCTTTAGAATCATCGTCCCAAGTGGTGCCTTTTTGTACAAAATTGACTAAGGATAAGAAAAGTGAAGCTCCGCGGTATAAGTACAGTGTTATTGTGGTTCTTCAGTGCCTGACAGGCGGTAGGAAGGGAGGAATCCACTGCACAGATGTTTCGAATGCCAGTCGCACTATGCTCTTCAACATTCACACCATGGACTGGGATCATGAGCTCTGCAGGTAAGCATGAGAGCATACACACATGTAACGTGCTATGTAACACAATAACGTATGCTTGTCCAGTTTAGACAAACTCAGTCGATTCACACGATCAGTGTGTAATGAGAGAACCTCTCTCTGAATGTTCTGAAGTACAGAAGTATTTCGATTCCAGTTCCATACTGATCAGATTATTGCTGTCTCAATCTTTGTACATTTAGGCCTCATTATTTGAGATTGAATCAGTGCCATCGTATTGCATTATTCTGTATTTAGTCAGAATTGCCTTAAGACACAAACAATGAACGAAAAAAAAATCCACACAATTGAAGCAATCAATTAACCAACTAATTTGTTATTAATTGCATTCCTAGTTCCTGACAAACAATACAAACCTTGACCTCTTAAACCTTGACAACTTTTTTTTTTTTCCTGCACCAGTGCATTACAAAACAAAAGTTGAAACGTGTGCTGTACATGCTTGCCTACCGGCGCTTCCCTCAAAAGCTCGAAGAAAACCCACATTTCCTGTTTTGCTGCTTTTAGTTACTTTGATATTCCAATGGAACTGCTTCCCAAAGTCAAAAGCTCCTCTGAAATATACGGCCGGATGGTAAGTTCTGTTGTATAAGATTTCACACTGAAGCATGAATTGAAACGGCTCATTCATAAATGTGCTGTATTTGGAAGGCAAATTGAAGTTAGTTAAAATCGTGTGTTTCTCTTACTGATCAACAAGGGAAGACTCACATTCGGGAATCTATCCCACTCTCAATGCATTATTTGATTTAATGCAATTACAAAAAGTCATAAAGTCATTGTTTCTTTGCTTATATTAGAATCAAGTACAGTGAAACTCCTCTACAATGAAACCTACATGGGCGAAAATACCCCCTAGTGTGAAAAAATCTTCATGCATTAACACCATTCCCACTCTCCTGCCCCCCATACAACGAAAAAAAAACCCTGTTGCGTTATACAAAATATTTTTCTCTGCTCTTGCTTCGCGATACGAAATCTTTTCACGACGAGATTCACTACAACGAAGTCTAATCCAACAGCGCCCTCTACTGCTTCGTTCGGAAACGGCAACAGCAACCACCACACTGGTTTACACATGCGCAGTCGTCCAGGAAGTATTTGTTATTGTTAGTTTCAGACGCAGCAAGAACGTTGCATTGCTAAAATGGCTACAAAACGGACCTTTGGGTGTCGAGCAGCTAAGACAAGAAGAGCTCTGACGCTGGAAGAGAGGGTAAAAGTAATCAAAATGAAAGACGGAGGAAGCAAAATAAAAGACATTAGCCAAGAAATTGATTTAAGTGAATTCTGATCGTAAATTTCGCAATTTCTTTCCCTTTTTTTCTTTCTACACTGACTATATGAAGTGTCAAATAAGTGTATGCTCATACTTATGCACTATTGGAATAAAAATAAAGAGTACACATACTTTTGTGTGCACGTGTCCAGTGAAACTCCTCTACAACGAAATCATGTTTGCAGCAAGAAATTTTTCACAACAGGTGGCTTTTCACTGTAGCAAATTTTATCTCAGATGTAAACACGCACACACACACACACGCACAAAACGTATGTGTCTACTCTTTATTTTTATTCCAATACATAGTGCCTAAATATAAGCATACACTTATTTGACACTTCATATAGACAGTGTAGAAAGAAAAAAACGGGAAAGAAATTGCGAAATTTACGATCAGCATTCACTTTCACTTACATCAATTTCTTGCATTATGTCTTTTACTTTGCTTCCTCCATCTTTCATTTTTATTACTTTTATCCTGTCTTCAAGCGTGAATGCTTTTCTTTTCTTAACTCCTTGGTCTGCAAAGGTCCATTTCATAGCCATTTTAGCAATGCAACGTTCATTCAGCGTCTGAAACTAACAATAACAAATACAGTGATCCCTCTCTACTTCGCGGTTCGTTTATCGTGGGTTCAGTGCATCAGGAATTTTGTCAAACATATAAAAAATAATAATAATAAATTAATTAATTTATTTATTTACATATACATGGAGTACAGTACTGTATATGTTGCTCTATGTGACTCGCTGTTGTTTTGCAGCTTCTCGCGGACCGTTTGCGGACTTAAAAAAAAATATATATTTTTTTGTTTTTTTTAATTTTTACCTGTTTATGTTAATTGGACGCTACTTCGCGGATTTTCGTTTATTGCGGGTGGTTTTGGTCCCCATTAAACACGATAAATGAGGGATTACTGTACTTCCTGGATTCTTGCACATGTGTAAATGTAAACCAGTGTGGTGGTTGCTGTTGCCGTTTCCGAACGAAGCAGTAGAGGTCGCTGTGGCATGCTGAGGTTGGATTAGACTTTTGTGGAAGGCTTGTTTTCGTTGTACAGTAGTGAATCTCATTGCGAGGCAAGAGCAGAGAAAAAGATTTCGTATAACGGAACAGGGGGACTTTTCGTCGTAGGGGGAGCAGAAAAGTGGGAATGGCTTTCATGCATGAAAATTTTTCACACTAGGGGTATTTTCGCCCATGTAGGTTTCGTTGTAGAGGAGTTTCACTGTACCATTGTTGGGGGTCAATAAGGCTGTTTCACACTCGCAGTAGATGACGTCATCTAGTACTCTTGTTCGGAAACAAACAAAGAATATACTGATTGGTGTTTTGCACTCAGTGATGCTTCTGCTTCAGTAGCCTTCCCAGCGGCATTTTTATGATCAGAACGGAACTAAATGGGAATAGCTTTTGGATAGTCAAACGTTGATATCCCAATGCTTTTCGCAGTGATTTTAAATTTTGATTGTGTATTTGGTGCATGCAGCGTTGACCAAGTTGTTGGCAACACTCTGTTAATGAAAGGGAAAAAAAACCCACTGGTCACATAAAAAAAAAAATAAAATAAAAAAAAAATCTTGAATCTGACAAACGCAATAATAAATAAAAATTTAATTAAAAATCAAGCAATCAAAATCATACACAGCCATTGAATTGAAGTGTGACAGATATATTGTTAGAAGCGCGCTTTCACCTGCGTCAGGCGTGACATATTGTAGACCGATGTAACAGAGAATCCGGTAATTTTTCAAAATAAAACACCTTTCAGATTCCAAAATGAATAAAACGAAAGTAATGTAAATTATGTATTCTTTCTGTGTGGCCCGGTACCAAATGACCCACGGACTGGTACCGGTCCGCGGTCCGGGGGTTGGGGACCTCTGAAATAGGTAATTTCGCCCAGAGTGAGTATGACTTTCATGTCTATTAGGAGTGGATGTAAACTTCAAAACCAAGTTTCCTATACAAGACGATATTTGAAATGCAAATGTGAGACATGTAAATACCTACGTTATTTTCAAATCACATGCATATACCGTAAACAGCCTGCAAAATGCTAACAAGTCTGTTCATGTCCTCTCACCAGAAAACAACCATCCTTGAAGGAGTTCCAATCTCTGGGGTAAAAACTTCCAAATGTCATGTCGCTAGTAAGAATGTGGACTTTTTTTTGTGCTTGACTGCAGTGATTCTCAACTGGTGGATGGGGACCCAAAAGTGGGATTAACCATGGTTGGGACCAAAAAATGACAGTGGTCCTTGCACTGTGATGGTGCCTACAGTTTATATAACTTTTTTTATTGGATTGTTATATGTCCCTGGATTATCGTACACATTTTGTATCCATTATAATTCCTACTTTATTACTGGCTTCATGTAGGCTAGTGATAGACTATGACGCATTTGAGACATATGTCAAATTTTATAGGGGTGGAACTCCGTTGCTAGTTCAGGACCCAGTGTACCTTTCATTTGGAAAATAACATTTTAACAAGCATGCCTCAGAAAGGTACATGTATTCATACATGGGCCATCTTAAGTAAGGGACTTTTGCCATTAAGTTGCTATTCAAATTTTGTGTCTGTATTTTGTGTAATTGTGATATTGCATTTTACCGTTTTTATGTATTGATGATACACTTGTAGCTGTCATGTTAATCTTGAGTTTCTTAACCGGGTGCTGTGAAAGGCATTTTGAACATGTAAGCATAATGTAGTTAAGAACTTCAGTTTTTTTTTTTTTTTTTCAAATTTTCACTCATTTTGAATTACACGGCTGCAACATGTTAGAATAAAAACTGGGACAGGGGCATGCCTACCAGTGTGTTACATCACCTTTCCTTTTAACGACACTAAATAAGTTTTTGGGAACTTACCGTAATTGTTGAAGCTTTGTAGGTGGAATGCTTTCCCATTCTTGCTGGATGCGCAACTTCAGTTGCTCATCAGTCTGGGGTCTCAGTTGTTGTATTTTGCACTTCATAATGCGCCATACAATTTCAATGGGAGACAGGTCTGGACTGCAAGAAGGCCAGTCTAGTCCCGGCACTCTTTTACTACAAAGCCACGCTGTTTTAACACATGCTCAATGTGACTTAGCATTGTCTTGCTGAAATAAGCAGCAATGGACTGGTACAAAGTTGAATTGGGGTTTGTATGGTATACATGTTGATAATAGCTAAGTCTGTTTTTTTTGAAACAATACATGTTCTTAACTTAACCCTTTCATGCACCCTGTAAAATGATAACATGATAAGCTGTCCACTGTAGTAACCACAGTCCCTGAAAGGGTTCAATAAAAATGTGAGTAGTGATTTAATGGCGATATGAAATTTTGGGTCACAAAGCAACAGCAGTCGAGAATCACTTCTTTCGTCTGATTCACTGTCCCCAATTATATAAAGGTGGGTAGTAAAACACATTTACACTGGTACACTTACTTCTTGGATGAATTGTACTTTTACTTGTTTTGGTTTGTCTGAGTGAATTATGCCCTGGGCACTGTCAGAAGATTCTGTTTCGTCAACAACATTCCGACAGTCAGGTACATGACCACAGAGCCACACACTAAGTCTCTGTGGCCCCACAGAGAACCAGTTTTCAAAGTGACTCGTAAATATGAAGCGTTCCAAAAACAACAGAGCAAACATAGGTGTGCAACTTTCAGCAGAAGAGGAAGAACTCCCATGGCTGGAACATTCAATCTATGGTTACCATACAGACTACCCGCAAAACAATTACACTTGTGTCTTGCACCTTCAGCTTGTCTGCCGCACATTGTCCGCGCATCAGCCTACAAGAACTCCGTTTTGAACTTGTGCTGTTTCACGAGTGCAACCAAAGAACGTTAATTTTGAAACTTTGACTTGTGGCTGAATTTCACTTTGAATTATATTTTCACAAGTACTTAAGTTCTATTCTTCTTTCAGTTAAAGTGATACTGTTATAAAAATGTATACATTCCATTCCTATTTTATATTTTTGCCCGTTTGATGCTCTCATTGAAAAAAACTAATCTTAAAGGGGCAATGTGTAAACATTTGTTGATTTGTTGCTGTTCATTATTTCAAAAACCCACTTTAATTTCACTAATATGAAAAAAATATGTTCCAACACACAAAAGTACTTTTTAAAAGTTTAATCGTAGGTGAAGTAATCGCTAATTATACTACTTAGGGCGCACCTCCCTGAGAGTAGGCTGCCATGTTTTGCCACCATCTTTCAGCTACGGATAGCCGAAAGAGACAAACTTAGCGAACATAGTTCCTTAACATGATTACAATAACGTGGGTATCATATGCCATGCGCCTACTAATCACTTGAAGACACAATAGAATATAGAAGTCATTTGGAATGACATTTTTTTTGCACCTCTGCTGAAAAAAGTGATCGTAGTCCTGTGAAGTGTGGCCTAATTGAGGCACCTTCGTGCGCATGCTTCAAAATGTCCGCGTTTCAAGCCGAGGTCGTTGCATTCTATTAGTTCACTACTAGATAGCATTAAAATCTCCACAATGCACCTTTCAGTTACTCATCAGATTCTAGCAGTGGCGGGCCGTGCATTTCAACCTTGCAAGCCGAGGTCGTTGCATTCTATTAGTTCACTACTAGATAGCATTAAAATCTCCACAATGCACCTTTCAGTTACTCATCAGATTCTAGCAGTGGCGGGCCGTGCATTTCAACCTTGGGCCTTCAGTGACGTCACTTACATGAACACAATACTGTATAGGCTCGTCAAGCAGCACTTTCAGGAGCATTTAAAACCATCAAGTATGCATTCACAATTAAGAGCAGGAAACTAAATTTACAGATAGTCAAAAATAAATACGAAATAAAATGCCACCCAAATTACGCTGTGTGATCTTAAACAAGTCTGTCCAATAAATTGCGCAATGTCGCAGTTTCATATAAGACACCAACCAAACAATAACAAAACAAACTACTCTTTGAAAATAAACAGATCATTTGCATTTTGAAAATCGGCGATAGTTTGTATCTTTGTCATTTTATTTCGTTACCATGAATTTAATACTAACGAAATAAAATGACAAGAAGAAATGGAAAATAAAATTCATTGACTCACCAATGTAGTTCTCCACAGCATCTGCTTATTTGAAAATAAAGTCGATCCTCCTTTCTTTTCTCAGGAACACTTCAGTGGCTCTGTTGTACAGTTTTCAGGTCCATTAGCAAGTCCTTTTCTATCGACATGGAAGCTAATGCTGAAAGCCGTTTTTGTCCGGTCGTGTTTCTGGTATAATTTTAATTTCCCGATTTTTTTTTTTTTTTTTACTTTTTCGTTGTGGAGCTCCGTCTCCCGGGGTGCCTGTTT